CTGCTGCTGGGGGGAATTCGCAGCAGCAGCAGCAGCTGCTGCTGCTGCTGCAGCAGCAGGGGGCTCATACCTTGTCAGCACATGAAACAGCAGCTGCACTAAGGCCTCGCCTAAAGACAGCACCCGCAGCTTCGGCAGCAGCACGCAGCTATCGCAGCTGCATGCAGCAGCAGCAGCAGCAGGATAGGTCTTGAAGGGCTCTTCTGTTGAGGCCTTCCCCGTCTGCTTCTGCTGCTGCAGTGTTGCTGCTGCTGCTGCTGCTGCTGCAGGGCGAATTTCAAGCGCTGCATGCAGCAGCATAAGCTCGAAAGGCTGCGAGTCTCCCTCGTCGTTGCTAGCCCCGTCAGCAGCAGCAGCAGCTGCTGCTGCTGCTGCTGCATCAGAAGCAGCTGCAGCAGCACCCGTTGTCTCAAGAGCTAACAGCCAACCCCTCAAGCAGAGAGCTGCTTGCCGCTGCAGCGCCTCCTCCTGCGTGCTGCAGCAGCTGCTGCTGCTGCTGCTCGTTGTGGACCCTGCTGCTGCTGCTGCTGCAGAATCCTCTTGTGCATGCGCCGCAAGCAACCGAGCAGCAACTGCATGCGTCTCCAGCAGCAGCGCAGCGAAGCTGCTGCCCAGCAGCTGCTGCAGCAGCTGCAGCAGCACCTGCAGCCCCGCTGCGACGGCTTCGTCTAAGCAGCACAGAGACAGCAAATAAATAAATAAATAAATAAATAAATAGACAAATATATATAAATAAAACAAAATAATTCATCCACTACTGTAACAAACAAACAAATAGAACAAACAAAACAAATAAAATAAACAAATAAACAAATAAACAAATAATACAATTAAAGCCCTCACCCGTATCATCACCCTCAGAGACAGCAGCAGCAGCAGCATCAGCTGCTGCTGCTGCTGCTGCATCATCGCTGCTGCAGCGAGGCGAATCCTCCTCCTCCTCCTGCTGTTGCTGCCGCCGCTGCTGCTGCTGCTGATGCAGCTGTAGCTGCAGCTGCTGCCTATGTTCATCTGCTGCTGCAGTATCTTCGGGCTGTTCGATATTTTCGTCTCCTGCTGCCCTCACAAACTTCTGAAGTAAACTTCGTCTCTCTTCTTTGCTTTTTGCTGCTGCTGCTTGCTGCTGCTGCTGCTGCTGCTGCATGCCACTTCCCTCTGCAGCAGCAGCTGTTGCTGCTGCTGCTGCTGCCTCGCTGCAGGCAACTGCACGACTCCACCCCAGCTCTACAAGCCTGCAGGTCTGCTGCTGCGCAGCAGCAGCATCCCCTGCTGCTGCTATTGCTGCTGCTGATCCCTGCTGGACAGCACCTGCAGCAGCATCTGCAGCAGGAGCTTCTCGCTGCAGCAGCAGCCAGTTGCTGTCTTCAGTAGCAGATACACCCCAAGGGAAGCTACGAAGTATTCTCATAAGAGGCTGCTGCAGCAGCAACCAGCGCAACCCCAGTAGAGGAGCAGCAAGCCGTGCTGCTGCTGCTGTCTTCACTTCCACCTGCTGCAGAGCCTGCAACAAATTAAACAACAAACCTTCTGAATACCGCCGTTGCAGCAGCTGCTGCAGCTGGTGCTGCTGCTGCTGCTGCTGCTGCTGCTGTTGCTGCTCGTGCTGCTGGCATAGGTAGCTGTCCACCGCAAGGGCAATTTGTACTAGGGAAGCCAACAGCCTGCATGCGTGCTGCTGCTGCTGCTGCTCTTGCTGCTCTTGCTGCTGCTGCTGCTGCTGCAGTTTGCTGAGCTGCAGTGCCGCCAGCTTCAGTGCAAACGCCAGCGGTGGTTTGCTGCTGCTGGCGTTGGGGGAGAGCAGCAGCGGAGCAGCAGCAGCAAAATGCTGCAGCAACAGCTGCAGCAGCAGCTTCTCGTCCTCCTCTTCTAGCAGCAAATCTTCAGGCTGATAGACAACAACGCCCAAGGCACACAATGCGTCGCTGCAAAACAGCTGCTGCTGCTGCTGCTGCAGTTGCTGCTGCTGCTGCTGCTGTTGAATGTCTCCCTGAGGGAAGGCTAGAAGGCCTGTAGCTGCTAAGTGAAACAGCTCTCGCTGCTCTTGCAAAAGCTGCTGCAACTGCTGCTGCTGCTGCATCAGTTCATGCTGCTGCTGCTGCTGCTGCTGCTGCTGCTGCTGCAAGGTTTCCTCTGCTGCAGCAGTGAGAGCAGCAGTAACCCTCAAAAGTGCAGCGCATGCCTCTTGACTCTTCCTATTTTGTGTTGCTGTTGCTGCTGCTGTTGCTGCTGCTTCTGCTTCTTTCTTTGCTGCTGCAGAGAATTCAATGGCCTGCTGCAGCAGCAACTCTGCGTCCTTTTTCATTTGCTGCTGTTCCGCTTCATCTGGTGCTGCAGCAGTAGCAGCAGCAGCACCAGCTGCTGCAGCAGCAGGCGAAAATAGCACTCCGTAATCTGCTGCAGCAGCAACACAGATAGCAGCAGCAGCAGGAGAGGCAGCAGCAGCTACAACGCATGCTGCGTTGCTGTTCGTTGCTCCTGACGCAGCAAGGCACTGCAGCAGCAACTGCAGCACATAAAAGGAAGATAATGAAGAACCTTCTCCCCTGGCTCCGCCTCCAGCAGCAGCAGCAGCAGCAGCAGCAGCAGCAGCAGCAGCAGAGACGAGCGCCTTCACACGCAACGGCGATACTGCAGCAAATTCGTTGGAGGCCTCCGCATACTCCTTTTCTGCTGATGAAAGCAGCAGCTGCAGCAGCAACCGCAGCAGAGCTACCCGCTGCTGCTGCTGTTGCTGCTCCTGCTGCTGTTGCTGCAGCAGGTAACAGAGGGCTCCCCGCACTTCTTGACTTGCTTTCGTTGGAGCTGCACGGGCAGCAGCTCCAGCAGCAGCAGCAGCAGCATCCGGAGCTGCTGCTCCTGCTGCGGTTCTTGCTGCACCGTGCATGTGCTTCCGGCCGTGGGCTCGGCGTCTGCTGCTGCTGCTGCTGCTGTTGCTGCTGCTGCTGCTGCTGCTGCCCTCAACTGCTTCTACTGTCAGTCCGCATAGCAGCAGCAGAAGCATAGCCTCCTTTACTTCTTTTGCATTGCCTTCATCTGCTACTGTTGCTGCTGCTGCTGCTGCATCGATCGCCAGGCGGAGTGCCTCGTCTGCAGCAGCAGCACCACCACCATCTGCTGCTGCTGCTGCTGCTGCAGCTGCTGCAGTCCTGCAGAGGAAGGCGACAGAAGCCCTCCAGCAAAATGAAGCACAGCGATATTGTCGCTCAGCTGCGCAGCTGTTGCTGCTGCTGTTGCTGCTGCTGCTGCAGCTGTTGCTGCCCAGACCATTGGTAGCGAGGGGCTGCAGCAGCAGCAGCAGCAGCATTTTTCTAATAAACGGCAACGCCTTTATCATCTCTACCTTAAAACCACCAGAGGCCCCCGCGCTGCTGCACTCTGCTGCTGCGAGAAGTGCTGCTGCTGCTCCCCAGCCTTCGGGCGTAACAGCAGCAGCAGCAGCAGCAGCAGCAGGACTTTCTACCGCGGCGGGCGTAACTGCACAGCCTTCGCCCTCTGCTGCTGCTGCTGCTGCTGCTTCTTGTAGCTGCTGCTTGAGCTGCTCCCGCGCAGCTTCGTTCAGCGACTGCAGCAGCTGCAGCAGCAGAGCAGCAGCAGCAGCAGGCAGCTTCCATCCACGAGCGCATTCCTGCAGCAAGGCAGCAGCAGCTGAATTACAGGTTGCTTCGAGCCTGCTGCTGCTGCTGCTGCTGAGTAATGCATGCAGCAGCTCTGGAGAGGCGACCGTTTGGCGTAGGGTGTCTGTACACTGCCTCAGAGCAGCAGCCCCTGAGGGAGGCATGTAGGTGTGCTCTTGCTGCTGCTGCTGCTGCTGCTGCTGCTGAAGCAGCAGCAGCGCCTGTACGATGTCCGACGCTGCGTCTGCTGCCAGCTGCTGCGGAAGGATGAACATATGGGTTGCTGCAGCAGCAGCACCGTTCTCCTTGCTGCTGCTGCTGCTGCTGCAGCTGCTGAGGAGAACTTGCAGCAAATCAGGCAACAGCAACGAAACCAACTGCAACTGCTGCGGCTGCTGTTGCTGCTGTTGCTGCTGCTGCAGTTGCTGCAGCAGCAGGGGCAGTTCTCTAATGAGTTGCAGCAAAACCTTCGACAACGCATTTTGAGTTGCAGCAGGCAACACCGTTCTTGCTGCTGCTGCTGCTGCTGCTGCCTCAGCATCTGCTGCTCCAGCAGCAGCAGCTGCTGCTGCTGCTGCATCCACTTGAAAGCGCCGCCAGAGGCGCCCAAACTGCCCCAGGGCGAAGACACTGCAACACCACCGCTGCAGCGCTTCTTCTGCTGCTGTTGTTGCTGCTGGTGCTGCTGCAGCTGCTGCAGTATCAGCAGCAGCTGCTGTGCTGGAGGAGAGGACGATTGCCTCTGCTGCAGCTCCCCAAGCAGACGAGGCATGTGGTGCTGCTGCTGCTGTTGCTGCTGCTGCTTCTGTGGCTGCTGCTCGGCCCAGCAGCGGCAGCAGCAACCTGACAGCAATTTGCTGGAAGGCTAGGCGCTGCTGCTGCTGCTGCTGCTGCAGAGTTGTTGCAGTTGAGCTATCTGCAGCAGCAATAAAACCACCTCTAAGTGTTGCTGCTGCTACCGGCAGCAGCTGCTGCAGCTCTTGCTGCGCACTGAAGATCCCCTTCAAGGAAGGGCATACATCTGATGCTGCTGCTTCTGCTGCTTCTGCTGCTGCTGCTGCTGCTGCATTTGCTGTTGTCGCTGTTGCTGCTGCATCTGCATCTGCTGCTGCTGCGTCTGTTGCTGCTGCTGCTGCTGCTGCAGGAAGCTGCAGGCGCAGCAGGCACTCTTCGCCAGCCCTTATTAAGGCGTCTAGAGCCTTCAAGCTCTCATATGATGCTGGATGCTGCTGTTGCTGCTGCTGCTGCTGCAGCTGCTGCTGCGTTCCACCAAAGGTCCACACCAAGTGCTTTCTTATCTGCTGCAGCAGCACAATGACCAGAGCCCCAGCTACTGTTGCTGCTGCCGATGCAGTCGCAACACCCTGCTGCTGCTGCTGTTCCTGCTGCTGCAGCTGCAGCTGCAGCAGCAACGGCATTGCTTTGAGTTCTACGTGCTGCGCCATCGCTAGAGAAGTTGCAGCAATCTGCTGCTCGTCTACAACTGCACCGTCGACCTGCTGCTGCTGCTGCTGCTGCTGCTGCTGCTCGACAGCAGGCAGCACCGCTGTGCAGATGCAGCGCCACAGGGACTGCAGCAGCAGCAAAGGCAAATCCCTGGCAGCAGCAGCAGCAGCAAAGCTGGCGATTGCCTCCGGTAGTGCAGATCGTACCCCTTCTGCTGCTGCAGCAAGTGGCGTTTGTCTCTCTTCCTGCTGCTGCTGCTGCTGTTGCAGCAGCAGCTGCTGCTGCTGTGCATGCATAAAGAGTTCGAGAGGGTATGAAGGGAGTTCGCAGCAATAATGCTGCAGCAGCAGAGACAGGTCTTCCTCCTCCTCGTGTGCTTTTGATGCAGTTTCTGCTGCTGCTGCTTCTGTTGCTGCTGCTGCTGCTGCTGCTGCTGCTGCAGGCCGAATACGCTTTTCAAGGAGGAAGACAACGATGCAGTAGAAGCTGTTTAAAACTGCAGCAGGCGGAGGGCAAACAATCTGCTGCCGCTGCTGCCACTGGGATTTGTCTCTCTGTTGCTGCTGTTGCTGCTGTTGCTGCTGCTGTTGCTGCTGCTGCTCCTGCTGCTGCTGTTCCTCTGAGCCATACTGAATCTGCCGTCTTTGCTGCTGAAGCAGTTTTTCGCGGTCGAGCTGCTGCTGCCGCTGCTGCTGCTGTTGCTGCTGCTGCTGTTGCTGCTGCTGCAGCAGAGTCTCCAACGGCAGCAGCACAGCAGCAGGAAGGTCTCTGAGGAAGGCCCTGCCCTCCGCGGTGTGCAGCAGCAAACGCGGATGCAACGCTGACAGCAGCAGCGGCAATTCATCATACATGCTGTTGCTGCCGCAGTACCCTGCAGCACCAGCAGCAGCAGCAGCAGCGGCAGCAGCAGCAGCAGATGGAGGAGATGCAGATGCAGATGCAGCAGGTGCTTAAGCGCTGTGGCAGCAACAGCAGCAAACGCAAAGGCACAAACGGCAGCAGCACCAGCAGAAGCAAAAGCAACGGCAACAGCAGCAGCAGCAGCAAGAGCAACAACAGCTGCAACAGCAGCAGCAGCAGCAAGAGCAACAACAGCTGCAGCAGCAGCAGCAATAGCCTCACCTCCATGTCGTGCTAGGGCCAGCAACTTGTGCAGCAAATTGAGCACCTGACGCTGCGGCGAACTCTTCTTCATGTGCTGCTGCTGCTGCTGTTGCTGCTGCTGCTGTACGTCTCCGTATCCTGGGGGGAGGAAGTGCTGCAGCAGCAGCCGCGTGGAGCGCAGCAAGTGGCCGCAGCAACTGGAAGCAGCAGCAGCAGCAGGTGCAGCAGCAGCAAGGGCCCCTGCTGCTGCAGCTGGAGCTGCTGCTGCTGCTGCTGCTGCTGCTGCTGCTGTGGGGCCGCAGAGGGCTGAGGAGAGACCTGTCCCCGGAGCAGCACACAGTGCAGCATCAGCAAGTGCTGCAGTGACTGCAGCAAAACACTCTTCCGCTGCTGCTGCTGTTGCTTCTGCTGGTGCTGCTGCTGCTGCCGCTGCTGCTGGCGGCGAAGGCAGCGGTACACCCGCAGCAGCAAAAGCAGCAAGGACAGCAGCAAGTGCTGTTGCTGCTGCACCACGCACAGCAACGCTGAAGCAGCCTTTTAAAAACAGACAAATTCTGCAGTCCCCAAAAAACAAAAAAGAAAAATCTTCTCGCCAAGCAGCAAGCCTTCGCTGCTGCTGCTGCTGCTGCTGCTGCTG